ACCTGGACGGACCTTCCCAAGAAGTTTTTGGTTGCCCACCCAGTCCCACGGAACCCAAACATAGGTACTTGCAGCCCAAGGGTACAGGTTTCACCACCAGACCTCTTGCAGGTTGGTCGCGGCGCTCCGTTGTGCTGCCCACATGGTTGAAGGCAGCGCGACGGACCCTCTGTCGACGGACCCGCCCGCATGAGTAGGTGAGTACGGCATCGGTTTGACTTGTAGCCGGTTTGGCCAAGCAGATCCAAGCGCCTTCTCACCAAGTAGTTGCAATATCCAATCACCCACTCTTGTTGACAATCATCAGCCACCTGCCAACGTCATCAACCAACTCTTCGCGTGGTGGCGGTTGATTTTTAGGAACTTTTTTGGGGGGTGTTGGTCTGACTCAATGACTCCAGGACCATAAGTTTTAACCAAGATTTGGCGACTGCCGTAAGTCCAGGTTGGGATGTTACGTTCTTTTTTGACTGGAACTCCCCCAACGATCCAACATTGACCAGTCATTGACAGCGAAGGAGCCCAATTCTTGGGGTGGTGGATCGATCATGCGGGGACGATGCATTGATGCATGAAGTAGAAACAACTATCCCTGGGGCTCCAACCACCTCCTGAGAAGGTGGTTGGGGTGGGTTTGGGGGGTCTAACCGCGTTCTGAGGATATAGTTGGAGCCCTAGGGTATACAGGGGAACGTATAAGATACAAGTGTTCATGTCCCTCTCTGCTAGTGGGTCGGGATGAAACAACGTTTTTTTTGGGAGGGTATCAAAAGTTGGTGTACATTCTCTCAGATTGAGAAGGGAGTGGAACTCTGTATAAAAAAGAATAATCATTCAGATGCCTGAAATGGATCGCTAGGTCATGATATTGTTCTTAGAGCTTCCAAGAAGCTGCTGAATCGTGAGTAATCAATGCAGGGGTTCCCTGTGGTTCCCTGGTTTAATCTCGAATCACTGAGTTTCCATGAGTTTCGACCTCTCTTGCTTTTGTGCTGGAACCATGTATGGGAGGTGGGTCTTCGAGCGAGAGCTTTGAGGTGGATGCCACCTTTGTGACTTGGCGACTTCAGGGCTGATGAACTCACCAAGGCTGGTGTAGTATTTAGACGTCCAAGTACCTAGAACAATGGGTGCAAGAATATAGTATAACAATATACAGTATGCCATTGGTATAGCTTATAGTTACCTTTTGTTGAACTTGGTAGATGTTTGTCCTATTAGGTTTGGGGCTACTTGGTAGGTTTATTAAGCACTTCCAAAGTCGATTTCAGGAATCCATCCCGCCAGTCCACAAACTGAGAAGGATTGTTCACCCGGGCCTGGCAGCCACCCCAGTCCCACCTTCGAAACTACGACTGGATCCCTATAGGGTCTTCCGGAACCCTGGGTCCATCGGACCTCCGGACGCCGTGCACTGTTTGGGCGCCTCAGGTGGAGTCCCTGTCCGAGCACCTCCTGGCGCAGGTGGACAGACAGACAGCCACGCGGACCGCGGTACGACGCGCGGACGTCGCGGGCGTCGCGGTGGTCGTGGTATGGCGATTCTGAGACCGATCCGAGTGAAGGACTCGGGGGTTTGGCTGTGGCTTTGGATGTGGGACCCGGACCTTGGCCGAACTTGGCCGAACCGGTCGTACCTCCGTTTCGGTTTCGGTGGGACTGGGGGCCCGGGTTGCCAGTTTCGGGTCCAGTCATACCGAACCTGAGGTGCTTGGAGGTGTACGGGGAGGGAGGGACCAATTGCTCTTTTTTGTGATCCGAGTGAATGACCGATCATGACTGGGCCTCTCGTGCGGCGGGTGTTTCGTACGGTCGGTGAGGACCAAACTTCACCGCGGTGGAAATGGTTGACCCGTGCCATCTCGAAGTGGCCATACTCAAAATGCCTCTGGGCCATAAGCCTCACAAGCTTCAAACCTCAAACTCTGGTTGTATTTGGGTTTGCCACCTGAGCAGATGGCTTTAGTAAAACCCAAGTGATGATTGAGATAGATCCTTCGTCTCACTTTGTGAAGCAGAAATGAACAAACACAATTACAAGTAGTATGTGTGGGTGCTATGCAGCCTTGCTAGAAAGTATTGGACTTGCGCAGGAGGATTCTCCGGGGTCTTCTACAGGCGAATAAGACTGGAAGACTCCAGGTTTCCTCATGCTGCACAAACATGATGCAGCCAAAAGGAGGCCCATCATTGTTTGCGTACACAGGTGCAGGGAACCCTTTCAAGATATGGTTGATCAAGGTTCAGCTTATGTGTTTCAAATCAAACAGCTGCTGCGCTGTGCAGTCGAAGCATCAGAATATAGTACAGCCAATCTGCAGCCAATGGTTGATTTTCCTTTTTGTTCCCTCCCTGGTCCTTCAAGCAACTGGAAAGGATCAAATTGTTCTGCACTTTATCTGTCGCAGCCCTTGCTCTGATGTATTGGGAAGTGCTTTCATGTTCGGAAGAGAAGCCACGCAAAGTCAGGCTTGATAGAACAGAGAAAATGATTCCAATCTTCATGTGTCACATAGTATGACGTGTAACTGTTGGTAAAGGTTTACAGATCACTATGTTGTTGAGGCCTGTACAAACAATCATCATCATCATCATCATCATCATCATCATCATCATCATCACCGGCAAGTTACTGGTTATGGGATATACCTGATATACCCAAACTAGCCTGACCACCTCTCTTGGGCTCTGGCTCCGTGATCGGGCTGCGTGCCCTTCACTGACCACCAGGCACAGTGGCTCGACGGCTGGCAAGCCTCCCACGTGGCTGCAGCGGCGGCGCAGCTGGGCCTCCCACCAGGCGGCTGGGTCAGTTGGACCCATCGACTTCTGTTCTGACACCCTCTGAACAGTAGGTGGGACTGGGGTGGGTCCAAGTACCTCTGTTCAGAAGGTGGGACTGGGGTGGCTTCAGAGGGTCCTCAGAAGCTACTTGGACCCTCCTGGCACCCACCCCAGTCCCACCTTCTCAGGATGTACGACTGGAGCCCTACAAACTCTTGGGAAGCAAGGCACCGTGGCCAGGGTGAGATCGTGTCAGACGTGCGTGCTCGGGTGGAGCTCGCTCTTCCACGAACAGCATGGACTTACCTTGTCGCAGGGAAGGTGGTATTCACTACCTTTGAGGGAGTGGCTTTCCTTGTCAATATGAATCAATCAAGTCTTGTCAGGACACAGACTTGGCGTTCTGCGAGGGTCCCTCAGTCGCTTTTCCGTATCTCACCCAGCTCCCCAGGCCGCTGCTACGATCGCTTGCGCGTGGGGCCACAGTTGTGGACACCTTCCGAGAGCTCGGCCAGCCTCGCTTTTCCGTTGATCAATCGAAGTACATGTTCTCCCCTGGAAGTCTGCAGTTCCTGAGGTTCCGGAGCAACTGACGAATGAAAACGTCGGACGAATGAAGTGCAGTGTCACCCAGAGGCCCCAAATGTGGCCGAACAGAACCGAAGAGATGCCGCTGTTTGGAGGGGTGCGACGCTAAGACTTTTTTATAACCAACTTGCAGGGTTTTGAGGCATCAGTTTCGTTCATGAACTGGTTTGACCTTGCAAATGCCTCCTGATGTCTTGATAACTCCATCACCTGCTGGCATTGTGGAATTGTTTTCCTCAACTTCAAGCCACCACAATGGAACCCTCACGACTTTTGAAACAGGTTCCCTTCTTATCGTTTCTTTCAGTACGTTCATCACCCCCAACCAATTCGTCTCTCTCATTCTATGCCAAGGTCAGCCGCTCATGGAGCGTTCTGTAGCGCTACGGGCTTCTCTCACTGCTCCCGCGGAGCTCCCAACCCTGCAGAGCCGCCCCGGGCGTGGAGCGCTGCGAGCCACGCGAGTGGTGGCGGAGGTGCCGCGACCGCGTGACGGCGTGCAGGTGGTTCTCAAGGTGGTGATGGGATGGGTCATGAAGTATTGATGTTTTGTTGTTGGAAGTCATCCTCCACCAAGTTGAAGCAAAAAGCGGGTGCGTGGTTTTTGAGACGTGGAGTCCTGACTCCCTACACAAGGCATCGAAACGGGGCAACCTGCATGCCTGTGTGTGTGTGAGGGTGCGTTGGCAGTACATATTGCAAAGAGCCCCAGTATCCAATCCAAGCGTGGCGTTCACACACTGTAATGAGACTGACTGCGAAAGGGTAGTATAGGTAGTTCTGCCTTGAGGGCAGTCTATAGTTTATATATACACCTAGAATTTATGTGTATATGCTTCTTTGCCAACCAGTTCAGGCAAGGTCAGCCGGTTTGCCGGTGCTGGTGCTTGGACAATTCAAGCAATCCTTGGTACAGGTGACACCTGAGTTATTGAAAAATGGGTCCAAACACTGTACAATAACTTGTCGACTTGAAGAGATTTACCAACTGCAAAACTTCAGTGTTTCTTTTGTACCTACAGAAATGTTACTAACTGTATTCAAGTTGTACATTGTACTTACTTTGCACCATAGAGGAACCAATGATTGAAGGTATGACATGCAGGTGATTGTCGACGACTCCCAGTCAGACTGGGTAGAGCATCGTCTAGACCAGGAAGGAAGGCTACACTACTACACTCCCTGAAATCAACATGGAACTGGACAACCACCTGTTTGTAGAGGGAAATTGTATAAGATTGTCATCTAAGGGGCCATGCCATCCACTCGATATTTTCAGGAGTGTAGATGTCTCAAGGAGAGATGCGGACCAATTTATTGTGTATGCAGTCAAGATGTAAAGTCATATCCATATCATGATCATCACTTTGCTGCTGTGAGGACTTGGAAGAGGATCGATCTTGGGAATTGGTAAGCTGGAAGTCAGGGATCAAGTGGTCAACCCTCGAGCTTCTTTGTTTGGATCATGTGCAGTCCAGAAGCTTATCTTGAAACAAAAAAGAACACAGATGATGGCAGATTGCAGGATTATTTTGCTAAATTCCAGGGAATCCATAATCACAAAGTGGCTGGACTAGGGACGCTGCTTTCATTGTTCATTGAACAGACATTTGCCAACCCCGAACCTAGCCTCTTTTTTCTTCATAATGAGATCCTGGGTGTTCTCCCGTCAACACCTAGCATGGAGTCGTTTGCGCTTTGGCTGGCCAGCAGCCCTGCTGTTCTTCAGAGAGGCGTGTTGGAAGGTAAGCTCGCACGGCCGAATTCGCGACTCTGCAGGAAGGATTTCGCAGGGTTCTCTCCATGGCACTGGCTACAGGAGGGTAACAATTTCAGGGCAGAACTGGACAGTTCACCGCATTGTCAAGATTACCTTTCATGGACTCCCCAAATTTGAGCAAGCGTGGCAAGTGCATCACTTGGATGGCAACCGAAGCAACAACCACTTGGACAATCTGAAGTATGTAACAGCAAGCGAAAACGTGCGGCACTCCTTCTCCAAACCTTCAAGGCGAACCAGTGGGCCCGCACGCTCGAAACCTGTGCTGTGGAGACCTGTCGGGTCTACAAGTTGGACAACAAGCCCATCTGCCACAGTGACAGCTCAGCAGCTAGGCATGTGCAAAGAAACGGTGTCGGAAGCTTGCCGCACGGAGTCTGCAGCGAAAGGTTATGAGTTTAGGTACCAAAACCTCAGTGAGCTGGTTTTCCCTGGAGAAGAATGGCGGCCTGTGGTTGTCGATCCACTGGGTGGCAAAGTCCCTGGAAGGATGGTGAGTTCTCTTGGCCGCATAACATCTCAGGCTGGGTTGATAAGCAGAGGGCACCTCACTCAACAAGGATACTACGCAACATGGGTGCAAGGACACTTTTCCTTTGTTCACCGCCTGGTGGCATTTGCTTTTCTTGGGCCCCCTCCTTCAAGTCATCGAACGTTTGTGAACCACAAAGATCTGGATAAAGGCAATAACACAATGGACAATCTTGAGTGGGTCTCTCCAGCAGAAAACCAAGCTCATTTTGTCAGAGCCTCATCCTCTGAAGGCAGGACGACTGGAAAGCCTGTTTGGAGTCGTCCGCAAGGAACTAGTGATGAATGGAGACGGCATCACTCCATGGCAAGTGCAGCTCGTGCACTTGGCCTTCACAGAACCAGCATTTCCCTTTGCACTCGAGGTCTTTTGCGGCAAACCGGCGGATTTGAGTTCCAACTAGTAGATGCACCGGAAGTTGTTCCTTTGCTCTTTGGCGAAGAGTGGCGAACAGTGGATTTCCTATTGCTTCAAAGAGACAGGGAAATCCGCAGACTTTGTTGAACTGTGTAAAGTTAGCTGATAGCCGCGGGCATAGTTCCAACGTCTTCATTCAGCAGAATCATTCTGAGTGCCATGCAGCACATGCTGGGCAAAATGGAGTGGTTTGCAGTAACAATCGATCCAACAGCATGTTTCGTCAAGCACCTTGTCGATTGTTCAAGCTCCTTTCAAGCAGCATTATCTAAACCCCGGCGAATCGCTATTGATCACCAAGCTCCACCTAGAGTGGATTATGGGCCCCAATATGCCCCAATAAACCTGGCCTTTCCTTGCTTGTGTACATACACGTGCCCGTTCTCCAGGTTGAACTAGTCGTTCACATATCTGTTACTAAATATCTAATTAGACTAATATAAATACCATTACTCGTACAAACATTTATTTATATAGTTGCCTGGTGAGATTGCTTGCTGAAAGCCAGGTGCTAGTCATACGAGTCAACATTTGTCTGGTGCCAGGAAAAAAGGATCAACGACCGTTTCAGGGGCAATGATGCGATTTCAGTTTAAAGCCTGTTCTCATGTTTTGCTGTGGGATGATGGTGATTGGGTTGGAAGAGATTCGGATCACGCATAGATGATACTCTAAGGAGTGATATTTGAACGCAGGAGTCCTTCCATGAGTCAACCCCCACTGCAGAAGACTGTCGATTCCCGGTTGCTATTGTTCACTCCCAGAAGGACCAGCCTTATGCTTGAGCTTGAATTAGCGTGGAGGGCAAGGAAGGCTAGAATAGGCTGGAACCCCTGATGGTCAGCATGCTCAGCTATGTTTGGTGCATGTACAGCATGTGTGGCCATGTCGAAGAGTTGCTTTTGAGGATCATCAACAATCAAGCAAGGAGTAGTCAAGCTTCAGCCATGAGGAACAGGTACGCAAGCTTAAGGGTTTTCTCATGATAGATGTGGGTGAGCAGAATTCCTAAAGAACGAAAGTAAGCTCATTCATGTAGTACCCTGTTGACTTTCATGCTATATTGGCCTGCACACACTACCTGATGTTTTGCTTGAGGTTCGGACCCGCACATGCTGATTTGGTACTAACTCGCTGGCCACATCCGACCACTGTGCTTTCAATGCTGCGCAAATGGCAAGTATCGTGTTTGCGTCCTTACTGGGGAACAAGGCTACACCTTGCCAGTGAGTCCTTACAAAGTTGACGAGCACATTGGCAGGTCGGTTCAGATGGCCGACTATGCAATTCTCGAGAGGATGTTTCCATTGGGTCACTACATTTGGAAGACATAGGTCGGTATGCCAATCTCGGGACAGAACTGGAAAGTTCACCGCATTGTCAAGATTACCTTTCATGGACTCCCCAAATTTGAGCAAGCGTGGCAAGTGCATCACTTGGAGGGCAACCGAAGCAACAACCACTTGGACAATCTGGAGTATGTAACAGCAAGCGAAAACGTGCGGCACTCCTTCTCCAAACCTTCAAGGCGAACCAGTGGGCCGCACGCTCGAAACCTGTGCTGTGGAGACCTGTCGGGTCTACAAGTTGGACAACAAGCCCATCTGCCACAGTGATAGCTCAGCAGCTAGGCATGTGCAAAGAAACGGTGTCGGAAGCTTGCCGCACGGAGTCTGCAGCGAAAGGCTATGAGTTTAGGTACCAAAACCTCAGTGAGCTGGTTTTCCCTGGAGAAGAATGGCGACCTGTGGTTGTCGATCCACTGGGTGGCAAAGTCCCTGGAAGGATGGTGAGTTCTCTTGGCCGCATAACATCTCAGGCTGGGTTGATAAGCAGAGGGCACCTCACTCAACAAGGATACTACGCAACACGGGTGCAAGGACACTTTTCCTTTGTTCACCGCCTGGTGGCATTTGCTTTTCTTGGACCCCCTCCTTCAAATCATCGAACGTTTGTGAACCACAAAGACCTTGACAAAGGCAACAATGCTGCAGACAATCTGGAGTGGGCCTGTGCAGCCCAAAACCGATCTCACTTTTTTGCAACATCCACCCTTGGACGTGGGACTACTGCAATGGCTATTTGGAGCCGGCCTCATGGCACTGATGATGAGTGGACCTGGCATCACTCATGACAGATGCTGCAAGTGAACTTGGTGTTAACAGCGTAAGTGTTTCCGATTGCGCTCGAGGGCTACAGCAGCAAGCCGGCGGATTTGAGTTCCAACCAGTGGATGCGCCGGAGGTCGCCTGTTCACTCCCGGGAGAAGAGTGGCGAGAGACCAACTTGCTGATACTCGAGCGAGACAGAGAGTCCCGTAGAGGAGATGCTGCCTCCCTTTCAACTCCTTTGTTCTCTCCTCTTTGCTTGCTGAGCCTCTTGCTTGCTGAGAAACCCAGCATATTTGAAAACATGCACATCAACTAGTCCAGCTGACCAGTCTACTCGCACAACCTTGTTTTGCGGAGAAACTAGCAGCCGTGATTTCCATGTCATTGAAGATAGGAAGCTTAAACGCTTAAAAATGATAGTAGTCAGTGATTTTGGGACATCTTTGGGTTCCGCCTCCCTTTTGGGTTTCACAAAACACTCACTTGTTTGGGCGGACCATGTCCATACCGAACAGCCATCATTGGGTTCCATCAAGGTGCCCCCACGAGGCACTGGAGGTCACCTGGAGGAGAACTCAGAACTGGTTGGACCGTTGGATTCAGAAGTCAATCAGTTCAGAATAAGTAAACCACTCTGGGATGCATCAATACCTTTGTCTAACACCCCGGACCCTATCAGTTGAATGCAAGGGATTTGGGATTTGGCTTCAACTCCTTAGTGGCACTTCAGTTGTGACAAACTATTCGGTCTCCGGTCACAAACTCATTGCAAAGGGTTTCGTTTCTCCCGATTGACGGACAAGCAACTTACTTTCAAAAGTGACGGACAAGACTGGGCTCCCAATGCAGCAACAAAACATGATACATGCGCGGTCCTTTGATCAACAGCTATATGGAAGCAGGGCAAAGGGTAGTTAGACTTCAGAAACATCCCATCAGCTCTCAACGTTTCCTCTAGCATTCTATGGCCGTTCCGACAAAAAGGCGTATGCGTTTCAATCTCTGAGCTGTGAGAGATTACGCAAGGCTGACCATCCAAATGCTCCAGAAGCAGAGGTGCCATTTCGCCCGAAGCTGTTGGGCGACGTGCTGAGGGATGATAGGATCAAGGTGCTGCAATTATTCAGTCTTGCTCCATGATTCAAGGGCTGCTCACTTGGGATACTTTTACTGCAGTCCGCCAAGCAGATGACTTGTGTTGTTCAGCAATATACTTGCTGATATCAATATGATTACCTATGAGAAGCATCGGGAGGCTGGGCACTGGCTTTTGTAACCTTTGTAAAACATTAAGTTGTTTAAAGTAGTTTTGGGATAGTTAGTCTCATATATAATATGTGATGAAGCTAGAGCGACCATATCACACAACTCTTACTTTTGTATATCATAGTTAACACTATATAATCAAATGTTTTAAGAAACATAGTTTTACTATCTATATAGTAGGCTGATTTGATCATTCATTTCAAAGACGATTGGCCTGCTGGCAACCTGGTTTTGCTTAGGATGTTTTTGATGTGTTTTCTGCAATACTCCTATGGGTAAATCTCCTTCTGGTGAATATATATGTGTGTTTCCGGTTCCTCAAGCAAATCCCAACAGCTGATATTGAATGCGCTTAGACCACGGCAGCTCAATATCGGCCACCAGCCGTGGTCTAAGCCATGCCTTATAGTCTTTGAGCAGCTTCCATCACGACTGCCAGCAGTCTTTGCAATTGTATAGGGTTTGCCGCCCTCCTAGAACGACCAATGCCTACAGGTGGCCGTAGTTCCTTACACAAACACAAATCAAAACATGCCTGGACCTTCAACGGTTGTCCAGTCCTGTCTGGAGATCCCGGATAGTAGTGGGCTGGGGCTTCCCAGGTGACCCCGATGTGGCCAGGTGCTGGTATGATGTTGTCGTTTCAATGTGACTAAAGCGTTGTACGTGTTGCTCAGTTGGAAGACCGGGTGGACCTCCAGCACGTCAACCGTTCCAGGTGACCCACGTGGTCCACGGCCTGGCAGAGGTGCGGCGGCGAGACGCTGAAGTGACGGGGTTCGGCGGGGGTCAGCGGGCGTCCTCCATCCGCCGTTTAGAGGATCGAACGAGAGGAGGGAGCGCTCGGTACGAGAGGAGGGAATCCCTGCTAATACGGTACCTGCTACAAGTAGCTATGTTAGTTACTATGATTACGCTAGTTGTAACTGAATCCGCTGGGATTGGGTGCTTCCGTTCTTTTCTTCTTTTTGAAGGGTTCTTTTGTGCAGTTCTTTGCGTGCACCAGGGGCCACGTTTGCATGCACTAATTATTTTGTTTGTTGCATGATGTTCCCACCAATCTGAGTCTGATCAGTCGCAGATTTGCCTTTGATTCCGTGAAAGGGTCTGCGGTGGCCGATACCCAGGGTTTGGGTTGGGGGAGCCTTTAGGGTGGAAACACTCATAGGGATCGTAGACGAATCCGTTGGACTTACCAACCAGTTCCAGTTCCATCAGTTCCATCCGGTGTTAGCCAAGTGAGATGATCCCCCAACTAGAACGAACAACGAACTGCTGCATGGATAATGTAAAACAGCCTTTATGCCGGTTGCGTTGCACTTGGATTTGACTCGACCATGCCCTCTCGGAGGTGCCTTCAATAGGACTCAATGACCCCACTGACCCTAGGACTTTGCTCCTTCTTGGAGCATTGACCATCCAGATGTTGATAAGATCAAAGAAACTCCTTGGGTCAAACATGGGTGCTCCACAAAATGAGCTACAACCCCCATCCCCCCAAATGGATGGTTTGCTGGGGATTGAAACATCGAGTATATATAAGATTTTCTACCAGTTTTTTGGCTGTAGCTCAAGAGTGATTCCCAAATAGATGACTGTGGCACGGTGTCCATTACATTTTTAGTGGCTATCTACTTTTCCAGCTATTTGGGGATTTGTATAATCATGGATTTACTCCTTGTAGCATCCAAAGCCCGTGGTCTCCAAGCAGCTCTTTTCAGGTGGAGCGCCTTTCAGCCGCTTTGGCAACCTTCGACACCCAGGATGTGGAGGCAGGTGAGCGGGGCTCAATCCCAATCCTTCCAAAGACCATTTAATTTATAGTTGCCAGATCTATTGTAAGAACATTGACCATGGTCAAGATTTGTGTTTTTCTTTGATTCCTTTGTGTGTGTGTGTCACTCAGTTTCTTCTCTCTTTCTACGTGACGCTGACCGGGATCCTCACTCATTTTGATGAACAAAATGTCAGATCCACGTATGTAGTGTGGGGGCTTCCAGCCAGATGACCCCTTGGAAGGTGCTGGACATTGAACCTGGATGTACTTAATGTAGACTATTGATGAATAAACCCACGATAACCTACCCACTTGAATTGGACATCCTCTTCATATTGGGTGAAAATGGTTCAAATATAATCAAGAGTCTACATTACGTTATAGATCCCTTCGATGTGAGCCAATCAATTGAGCCGGGCCCACATGATGATTTTGAGACTGATGTACTGCTAGGGGGAAAGCGGCTTGGCGGGTTGGCAGGTTCGAGATCTCTTGGCCAAGTGGCTCCTACAACCGCTGCCCGCCAGAAACTTCGCCAGGTGGGGCTGTCTCCACCGGCGGTTCACTGGTTCAGCATGGCCGCACGCCATTTGATGTGCCAAGAAGCCGAACCACCATTGAATTTAATAGCCTTGACCGAAGTTTTTCCAAGGATTTTACACCGAAACCGTCTAACGGACTTCAAGAGAGTTCTTGATTCCACCCATTGGAGTTGGGTGAAAAAGGGTCGTTTGTATCGAAAACAACATGTCTCATTGTAATTACTTCTTTGACAAACATAGACATATTAAACAAATATATTTGATAGTTTTGAAATACATTGTTTTTGTGCGATTGGATTTATAATTCCAAAAGGTAGCTTCAAATTGGAATTGCGTATATATTTTTGACAAGGATGGTGAAATTCAGCAGTTGATTAGTTTGCCTTTCTGTATGTATGTTGTTGATCATAGGTTGAGAATTTGACCAAACCGCAAAGGCACACTATTGATTCTGTCTCGCGTTATTGCACTCCCAGTGCTAAAGTCGTTTGTCAAAAACATGGTGTGCCATGGGGATGGGCAATGGGGAGAGGAAAGCCCAAGGAATGAGAAGATGATTTGTTATCTTTGAAAAACAATTCCATGTAGTTCACCCTCGAGGTAGGAACTTAAAGGTGGTACCAACATGTGGGTCAGAATCGGTGTTCCATGGGGGTGGGATCATGGCAGCCCATAGAAACCCTTGGAACCCATCAACATGTAGAAGATTGAATCGCAATGGAATGGTGTAGGTTTAGAAACACCCTAGGGGAAAAAGTACTTGTTTCGAAGCGGTGTGCCATTGTGTTTTCCAAATGGGTTAAGTTTCTACATTAGTGGGGTAAGGGGTGTGCCATGGGGGTGAAGTTCCTGTGTGATGGGGTAATTTACCACGTCGGGTCATATGTGGTTTGGGTTGGAAGATGATGTGTGTGAAGGGAGTGGAGCCACACACAGCCTTGTGTAGGAAGGACACATGACCTGTAACACTCTCCTCTTTGACTGCGTCAAGCATGTGTGTGGATGCAGACAAAAACCACCCGAACTTACCAGATCTTTGTTGGCTCGACGACTTGCCCCGTCGCCTGAACCTTTGCGTACCATTGGCGGAACATGTCTTCTCGCACTGGTTTCTTTGCCGTCCCCAGCTTCGACTTGGTTGAAGTGCACCACTCGTGCCTGATGTACAACACAGAGAGCGATGTGGAACAAGCAATGTGGGTGCATCTACCCAAGGCATGTCAGCGTGAAACCTTTGCTCCTTTCCTTGCAGGCAATTCCGGGCGTCCTTGGGCATGCACCGCATGTGTCCGACAACTTGGACGGGCACACAAAACACACAATACTGTCCATCCATCCTAGAGACCCTTCATGAGAAGTTCTACGAATGTGTTGGTCGGTGGCAAAAGGGCTCACCAACCGAGTCTTTGAGCCTGGAAAGTTGAATCAGCAGAAACCCCTTGGTGGTGGTTTTGTGCGCCTTCGTCTTTTGGGTTCATCCTTTATGTTGAAAGCAGTGGCAACGCTCCAGCAGCAAGACTTTGTGGCTCTTGATCTGCTAGATGGATTTGTTCGCTCTTTTGGCGACAGCCACGTGGTTGATCGCCCTGGCCAGATTTGGTGTCTACGCACGGCAAAGCAAGCTGTTCGCTTGTTTAGGTGAAGACGTTCCTCCGCCATGTGTGCAGGCTTCCTTGCTTGACGAGACTTTTGCTTGCAATGTTCCCGTGGTTGCAGGCATTTTGCTTCGATCGTT